TGAGATTTTAATAGGAATTGCATTAAATCTGTATAATGCTTTTGGTAATATGGCCATTTTGACAATATTAATTCTCCCTATGCAGGAGCAGGAGACTTTCCATCTTCTGAGGTTTTCTTCAATTTCTTTATTTAGTGTTCTGTAGTTTTCAGTGTAGAGGTCTCTCACCTCCTTTGTTAGGTTGATTCCCAAATATTTTATTTTTTTGTGGCTATTGCAATAGGGTAGTTTTCCTAATTTCTCTTTCAGTGGATTTATCACTGATATATAGGAATGTGTTTGATTTTATGGGTGTTGAGCATTCTTAATTATACAAAAATCTTCAAGTTACTTTCAGTTTATCAGACCTCTACAAATTTCAGAAAGTGCCAGAGGAAACATTAAAATGCTGCTGTACAAGTCAAATTGCAGAACAAGCCAGAAATACCTCATAATCAAGATATAATATTTTAAAAATAATATCAGTTATTGTTTATATAAGCTCATGACACTAAATTTTTTTGGTACTTTGTAAGTTGGTGTTGCTACTTCTGTATCATTACAAACCCTGTTGTGTTTATAATTAATACAATACTTTGTAAAGCAGACTTTATTATATTCTTCACTGGCAATTCTCCATGCTCTTTGAATGAGGGACTCCAATTTTTCCTTTTGCATTGGGTCCCACAAATTTTGTAATGAGCCTTGATTGGGAATCTTGGTCCCTCAAGCTATTCTTGGAAGGAGGGCACTTGAAGTCAAAAAGAGATTGGGATGTTTGAGGAAGTGTTTTTTTCTTTACATATGACTAACTCATCTATCTTTTCCAGGTCCTTCAAATTGTTCAGGTTTGTTTGTGTGTCCTTCCTACAAGAATGATATGTTACAGATAGAAATACAAGAGATCTTTAGAAAGGAGCATTCTGATCATCCATGGCTCAGTCATGGAGTCACCCTCACATCACTATCTATAATAATTCTTTACTTTAATTAAAGTTGCCTCTTATTCCATTCTACTCTGGATGTAGTCTTTCCTTGACCTGTTATCCATTATTTTTATTTTTATTTTTGGGTACTGGAGGTTGAACTCAGGGGCACTTGACCACTGAGCCACATCCCCAGACTATTTTGTATTTTATTTAGAGAGAGTTGCTTAGTACCTCGCTGTTGCTGAGGCTGGCTTTGAACTCGCAATCCTACTGCCTCAGCCTCCTGAGCCACTGGAATTACAGAATGTGCCACTGTGCCTGGCTGTCATCCATTATTGATGTTACAGGAGTGATGGAAACCCAGAGAGGAACTCATCCTGAGGATCCTGTTTATTTCTGCTTCTGAAGAGGCCCAAGGACTGTTTAAGGGAACCTCAGACACAGTAGGTTGCATGTGAACATGAAAATGGTGCAGGACACTCCACTCACAGTCTCATACCACCCTGCTGGGAGCCATTAGTCAAGTAGGTATGACAATTTCCTTGCCAGCGTACCCCATGTTGCTTAGTGGAAGGACTCGTGGAAATAGGACATTTTGCAGTGACATTGCATGTAGGTGACCTTGCTCAAGGACCAGGGCGGATCCGGGTTTAGGGTGTTCCCGGTTTAGGATAATCCGGGTTTAGGGCGTTCCCAGTTTAGGACAATCCGGGTTTAGGGTGGTTCCAAGTTTAAGGTTATTCCTGCTGGGAATAGGGCGTATCCTGCTGCCTGAGTTCCCCTTGAGTTCTCACGGGATTCAGACAGTATTTTTTGGGAGACAGAAGCCCAGTGGGGGTGTATTTGGGCAGAGAACGTGGATTTCCCCAGAATGTGATTGTAGACGGCTGGTGTGAGTTCGGGAATAAAGAGTTGCTGTTTGAATCTACAAGCTGTGTGGTGGTGATTTTGTGCCCAGCCAGACTGCGGCACCACCCCACACCTCACACACCCAGTCCTCAATGAACTGCTTCTCTGTTAAATAGTGCAAAAGAATTTCAGAGCCAGAAGAATCCTTAGGAATCAATCCTTCAGTGAACTTATTTTATGAAGGCAGAAACTATACCCAAGGTGCCAGTATAAAATAGCTAGAAAATGGGTGGAATTAGAAGGAAACGGTATATCCATTTCTCCTTAGCATGTCATGTCCTGCCCCATTTCTGTAGAACCAGATTGCTAAGCAAAGAGAAGCTCCCCGATGGTTCCCAGTCCCCATGAGTTCTGCAGTGTGGGTCTGGAAAAGCCTTGGTTCAAACAGTTTGACTTGCAGAATAGACAAGTCCAAATTGTAAAAGTGTTTGACACTTCAGGGAGGAACTGAGACTCAGGTTAAGCCCGTTTTTCTACCATCACCTCAGTCCACCACACACTGGTGGCTGTTGTAATGAGCAAGTGGTGGGCCATCCTCAACACCCAGACGAGTCTAAGGCCTTCCCTAAGATGAGTAATCCCAGGTGGACAGCCCCTGAAGGAAGGTCACCAAAGTAACGAGCATCATTGAAACACTGTCAGCAAAAATGTTCAGTGAAATTTAGAAACTAAGGGGAACCCTGTTCTCCTGCAACTGACAGTTTGTGAAAATGCTTGAAGAATCCATTTCTTGGTGCCATAACTGAAAAGGGCCAACATTGACCCAAAGTATCTGTATCTAGAAAATATGCATGTTGGCACATGCCTGAGGAGGAGGCAGGAGGGTCACAAGTTGAATGCCAGTCTCAACAGTTTAGCGAGACTCTAAATAATTCATTGAACTCTGGGTAATTTAGTGAGAGTATGTCTCAAAGTAAAAAAAAAATACAAAAAAAAAAGTCTCTGTACCCAAGAAAGAGGAAATTCACTCAAGGAAGGAGTTGAGAATTCGATCATATGGGGAATGAATGAGAAAATAGAAGAACCTTAGAATGGAGAAAAAAAAATATATAAAATATACAAACACATAATATATATAATATATATACATATATTATATTTTATATGCAAAGAAATAATATATATTACATATAATATTTTATATAAAACATTATATAAGTCCTATATAAAATATTTACATAACATAAATATACAAAATATTATATAAAATATTTGCATAATATTTTATATAAACAATATATATAATATATACATAACCTATTTTATGTATACACATATATTTTTATACTGAGTTGAGGGTTTTCATCACAGCTGTCCTTAATCTTTAAGGGTATTAGAGGTGACCAAGTGATTAGATTTACTCTCTATAACTCCAGAGGGGGTAATGAGTACAAATACAGGAAAGAGGCCTTAACTTCTGAAATGAGGTCATCTTGTTTTGCCAGAAACTATTGCTCATGGTTCGTTCTTGAGGTCTGTTTCCCATTTGTACTCTCCTGTAGCAGACACAAGCAGGAGTTCGGCTTCCCTAGATTTTGTCCTATAGAAACAATCAGAAAATATCAGGAAATTAAAGCTTATGAGAAAAGGTCTTTGGAAGAAGGAGATAATCCTTAACATTTACAGGACTAAAGGATTTTAACAAAGTTTTGGGGAAAGAACTTTGTAGTGGAAAGTGGGAGAAAAATCAATGGTCAAGATAGCAGAAATCTATGCCAGGAGGGTTGGCTTATGATCTGGAGGAAATTCTAGGGAAAATATGTCAATTGTTGAAGTTAAGGACATATCGTATGTTTTGAGAGCAGAAAATGAAGGCACATCAAAAATAAACTTGTGGTTATATATTTTGAATCTGTAACCTGATGTTTTTTGAGAATCTCCACTTTTTCTTTCAGGACTTTGCAGAACACAAGTCACACAGCAATAGAAAGATTTTTTAAGTCATTTCAGATTTCTCATTGTAAATTAACCCAATGTACTGGTCAAACTATTTTTTAAGGTTAAAAAATAAGTAACTTGGGGGCTGGGGATATGGCTCAAGCGGTAGCGCGCTCGCCTGGCATGCGTGCAGCCCGGGTTCGATCCTCAGCACCACATACAAAGATGTTGTGTCCGCCAAGAACTAAAAAATAAATATTAAAAATAAATTCTCTCTCTCTCTCTCTCTCTCTCTCTCTCTCTCCCTCTCCTCTCTCTTAAAAAAAACATAAATAACTTGAGAATTTATCTCCCTGCTCCCTTAATCACTGAGATTTTTTTTCCCCCATGGGTGGGGAGGTACTGGGATTGAACTCAGGGGCACTTGGCCACTGAGCCTCATCCCCAGTCCCTTTTAATATTTTATTTAGAGCCAGGGTCTTACTGAGTTGCTTAGTGCCTCACTTTTGCTGAGGCTGGCTTTAAACTTATGATCTTCCTGACTCAGCCTCCCAAGCCACTGGGATTACAGACTTGGGCCACCAGGCCCAGCACCATTGAAAATTGATCTTTAGTTTTTATTATCTTTGCTGAGGAAGGACACTTTGCTGAGGTTTGTGAGTGGCAAGTCATGGGCAAGACCAGGCTTGGAGTAGTGCTTCTGAGATAATATGCATTTCAATATGAATTGCATATTTCAATATGCAAAATATCTAGTGATCTTCTTTTTTGCTCTGATCTTTTGTTTACAAATTTATTTAAGAAAACATTTGTCTTTGTAACAGAAAAATCTCAAAGATAGATTTGGTTGAAAAGGAATGTATTATATTTTTCCTTGTGAACATGAATCATGGTGCTTCCTTGATATCAAACGTATAAACTGAGCCCATCATTGCATAAATGCCAATAGCATTTACCTCTTTACAATTTATTAATAATGACTCAGCAGTGTGCACAAATGTCTACATACTTACTACATTGATATTTACATACTTACTTTGCATTTAATTTCTGATCTGAGTCTTACTTTATTATACCAATTGCTGCTTTTTTGTGTCTGAATCATCCATGGGGGAACAGACCATTTAACGTAAAAGTTCAGTAGTTAGGGATGTGACCACAAGGTGGCAGTCTTCCCCAGCTGGTGCAGCATTGCAGTGGGTTTTGAACAGAGAGGTTTATAGTAGAAGCAGAGCCTTTTTCTTATTGGTTGTGTAGACAATATGAGAAGCCACTATAATTGTTAGAGAAAGAAAGTGACAACCTGATACAGAAATAGCTCTCCTGGCTAGAGATATCAAGTCTATGGTCCAAAGGGAAGAACAATGGAGACATTGATTTATGCTTTATTCGTATTCTTGTGGCTGCATCTGAGCTGTGAGTTGAGGACTGGGGATAATAGAGATACTACTGGATGTTCTTTTGATGTCCAGGGAGAAGACTGGCTTTATTCAGAGCTCCTCCATATCCTGTAGAAAAAGAAAATTCTAGAGATTAATGACCTGACAACCCTCTTGTTTTTCTTTTTCTTTTTCAGGGGTCATCCAAGGAGAGAAGGTGGATCAGCACCCTTCTACTCTGAGGGTCCAGGAGGGAGACAGCGCTGTTATCAACTGTACTTATTCAGACACTGCTTCATCCTACTTCCCTTGGTATAAGCAAGAAGTTGGAAAAGGTCCCCAGCATATTATAGACATCCGTTCAAATAAGGAGATAAATCAAATGCAAAGATTCATTGTTGTGTTGGATAAGAAAGCCAAACATTTCTCCCTGAACATCACAGCTACCGAGCCTGGAGACTCAGCTGTCTACTTCTCTGGAGCCAGTGCACGATGCTTCCCAGACACCTGCAGCCTGTACTCAAACCTGACACTGGGCTGAGCCCCACCTGCTTCCGTTTTTTGCAAAGACCTTCCAGTATTGCATTTTCCATATTGTTTTTTTTTGTAAGTGGAAACTAGCATATAGGCATACAAAGTATATAATACATACAGTGGGTTCAAGATGACCCAGAGAGGGTCAGAACATTTTATTAGGTGATTGTTGTTTGACAGATTCTTATGTTTTCTATGTTTATTGTACATATTTAGAGTATATAATGTGATGTTTTGATATATACATACATAGTGAAAATGAACATCTAGGTGAAGTGATGTGAGATGAAGAGGGAAAGGTGTGGCACAGAACTTCATGCCTACTCTGGGCTCTTCATGCCCAGGCACCCTCACATCTTCATCAATCCTAAAGCTGCACGTAATGGATTCTTCCAGGGAACTAAGGATGCTTTGTTTCGCAAGCCAAGTTTTAAAGATGAATTAACATTTGCTATTTGATTCCTCTCCTATAATATCCCTTTAGTATCAGTTTCACAATCCTTGTCAGATATGGGCTACTCTTTAGAAAATTATATTTGTTATTTTTCTGATTAGTAAACACTACATGTTAAGCATAGAAAATATATGAAATATAATATATGAAATTGATTATTTGTACCCTGATAAGTATTGCTAATATTTAGTCAAAATTTGGAGATGTAATGTAAAATGTAAGGACTATAGTTAATAAAGGTATACTGTATTAAATAGATTTTTAGCTACTGTCAATTGTACAAAAAATTATGTGATAGATATGTTAATTTGTTTCAGCATATAACCACTTCACTACCTATGTGTATCCTATAATATATTATTGTAAATCTTGAATACACACAGCAAAATTAACTTAAAGAAACATATTATTTCTTTCTACTTATTTATGTCTTTCTTTCTTGATAAAGTTCTATTGTTTTGTGATGATTAAATTTATTCCTAGACATTTAGTTTTTATTGCTATCTTATAATTCTTTCTTGTGTATGTGAAAAATTTTTTATATATATCTATTAATTACCTTATTGAACTCTTACTAGTGAATTACGGAAAGAATTTGGAATAATGGTGTATTTGTTGATAACTTGCTACAGAGATTTCCGTTCTGATAGTCTTTGGTGCTTTATGTTATGCAAGGGCATGTGTGTTTCAAGAATCCTGGGTCAGTGTTTATCTTCTGTGGACTGTCTGCTTATGGAGACCCTCAGAAGAAGCTTAGTTAAAATCTTTAAAGTGAGTTATATTTTATTTCTTGTCATTTAAGTATGGATAATGTCATACTAGTTGCTAAATGCAACTGAGGGTCAATTCCTTATACTTTATCCAGTGAACTGGTAGTAAATATTTCCTAATGAGGTCATTTCCAAAGATTCAGAGTCAGAATGTTTCTGGCATTGATTTCAGATTACCAAGTCATGACTGATTAAATGAGAGGCCAGGAAAGGCAAACTGTTGGCATGTTGATAAAAGGGTTTATCGTGTTTTCTAAGAAAGTATGGAGTATGGATGGTTTGGGAGTCACAAGTGTCTAGACATGGCCAGTTCACAGCAAGACAACATATGACTTTGTGTGGGGGAAGACTGCAGGCCCAGGGGAGCCAAGGGTAACCACAGTTCATAGACCACAGGACTTCAGGGGTATCTCATACAGCAATAAATGGGCAAATGAATGGACAGACACTTTTCAAAAGAAGTAGGAATGACCAGAAATTACATAAAAAATATAAACACCTTTAGCTACCAGGGAAATTCAATTCAAAATTACACTGACATTCCATCTTACTCTAGTAAGGATGGCAATCATCAAGATTACAAAAACAAATCCTAGTGGCTCAGGAGGCAGAGGTAGGAGGACTGCAAGTTCAAAGTCAGTCTTAGCAAATTAGAGAGGCTCTAAGCAACTTAGTGAGACCCTGTTTCAAAATAAAAAATCATAAAAAATATTTTAAAAAGTGCTGGGAATGTGGCTCAGTGGTTAAGCATCCCTGAGTTCAATCCCTGGCACCATCCACCCATCCCCCAAATAAAAAAACAACAACAGTAAATGTTGGTGAGAATGTGAAGAAAAGGGACACACTATTGGTGGGAATGTAAATTAGTACAGCTGCTATGAAGATCACTATGGAGGTTCCTCAAGAAACTAAAAATAGAACTACCATGTGATCTACCTATACCACTCCTGAGTGTTTAATGAAAGAACTAAAGTTATCATATCATACAGATACCTGCATAACTATTTTTATTACACCATAATTTATAGTAGCCAAGTTATGGAATCAGCCTAGGTGCCCGTCAATGGATGGATGGATAAAGAAAATGTGGTATACATACACAATAGAGCATCAGCTATAAGGAATAATGAAATTATATAATTTGCAGGAAAATGGATGGAACTGGAGATCATCATGTTAGATGGAATACACCAGACTCAAAGAAAAGTATTTCATACTTTCTCTCATGTGTGGAATATAGACAGAAAAGAGATGAATTAGAAAAGAGGAAGAGGATCTGAGGAGGAGAGGGTAAGAGAGAATAATAGGGAGTGGATATGATCAACATATGTTTTTTGCTTGTAAGAATATGCCACAATGAAACACACTAATCTGTATAATTAAAATGCACTAAAAGATGCCTGATACTATATTAATGCCAGTTTTAATAATCCATTTGTTGTTTCCAAATTTTCAGAGGATAGTGAGGTTATTTAAAAAAAAAAGTGTAGTTCCTGAGTGAGGGCAAAGCCTTGCATAACGGTACCAGAAAACTATGCTTCATATGACTTGAAGTGTCACAGGCAGGGAACACAAAGTCAAATTGATTTTTGTATATCACAAGTTCTGTGGCTTTCCAACAGGAGAGTGCCTCAACTCATGTAGAAAATAAAATTCTATACTCATAAACCATACAGGGAATGCAATTTTATAATATCCTTTGAGAGATATTTAAATGTTTCCACAGGATTCTATTCTTTTTTAAATTTTTTTGGTTTGTTCTAATTAGTTATACATGACAGCAGAATGCATTTTGGTTCATTGTATACAAATGGAGCACAGTTTTCATTTTTCTGGTAGTATGTGATGTAGAGTTGCCCCATATGTACCTAGGGTAATGATGTCCATCTCATTCCACCATCTTTCCTACCCCATGTCCCTTCCCTCCCTTCCCTTTGCCCAAAGTTCCTCCATATTCCCATGACCTGCCCCCCCCCCCACTTGTTATTCTTGTTAGTGTCCCATCTTTACAGTTTTTTATGGATTTTTTTTTTTTTTTTGGTCCTAGGCAAGGCATGAGAATGTTTTCCTAAAAATGTTCATTTAATGTTGCACCCAACATGTCCCTACTGTGATGTGTTGTCTCTGGGGGCTTAAGCAAGCAATCACTGGCGATCAGTTGGCTCTTCCAGGGTCTTTCTGGCTTTGGTAATATCTTCTCTTCATTGATAAACTAATCAGTCTTTTCTAGTGTTTCTTTACAAACATGGGAACCAAATTTTCTGGATCTGAGATGAAAATTTAGAGCTTTTCCATGGATCTTTCTTTATGTTGTATAAGAGATTTTTGCATAAGGACTTCAGTCAGAAAGGCATGTTTAATTTAGCATAATCATTTGCATAAGTGTTTACCATCCCCCTTCCTACCCCCATCCACAGATTCTGTAGGTTTTTTTTATACTTTGGGACACTGTCTTCACAACAATAATTTCTTTTGAGTTACATGAACACATGAAATAACAAACGCATTTAGTGTTCAGCTTTAATTGTTATACATAAGAGACATAAGGTTAAGAAAAGTTTATAATAATCAAAAAACTCAATCTTCTTCATAGTATTTGGAAGTTTTGAACTATATTAAAACATATTAACTATCATTACTTTTTCATATTTTTACATGTCCAAGAGGAAGTCACAATTGCAGACAAGAATTAATTTTGCTTCTGCTCAAGGTGTATTAGATTTTATTATTGATACTTGAATGCTTATTGTGTAACTTACCTGAATGATCGCGGTTCAAAATTTGGCAGGAGAGTGTCAAAATATAGATTGTGGAAATGGATACTTCTTGATTGGCAGAAGTACAGTTGTGACCTTCCCTTGAGAGAGAAGTGTAATGGAATTGAAATGCTATGAGGAGAAATTGTAATATCTAATAATTATTTGATCACCTGGTAGAAAAATATTGGTGTTTGTAGAGAGCAGAACAGTTATACTGTATGTAGTATCAGATTTAATGGAAATTCCAGTATAAGATCTGAAGATGCTTCAACCAATCTAGACAAGAGTGACATTATTTTGAGAAGGGGATAAGCTTTGGCTACTGTATCACGAGGTAGGGATGAGATGGGCACAATATAACATAATTTGACCAATATCATTCCCTAGCTCTTCCCTCTTCCCTCCCCTCATCCCACCCCCTGGTCCCTTTCCTTGACTGATCTCCCTTTGATTTTCACAGGTCCCTACCCCTCACCTGTCTTTTCTTGTTTCCTCTCCAGCTTCCGCATATGAGGGAAAACATGTGGCTCTTGACTTTGAGTCTGGCTTATTTCACTTACTATAGTGTCCTCAAGTTTCATCAATTTTTTCCTGCAAATGACATAATTTCATTTTTCTTTATGGCTGAATAAGACTCCACCGTGTATATGTATATAGACGACATTTTCTTTTTCTATTCATTTGTTGACAGACACCTAGGCTGCAGATTCAATGGTTGTTAAATTAAGAAGGGAGTCTGGGTTGGTGAGATTACCAGTCACACACACAGCAGTTTGACATGACTTCCTTGCTGAACCAGGAAGCCTCTGTTTCCTCTTCAGGGGCAGCAGCAGCTTGGAGCTCAGTAGTACCACCCTCACCCTGTCAGGCTCCCCTCCCAGTGCAGAGCCCTGGAGTCAAAGAAGAATTTCTTCTGAAGGAAGAAGGCAAACATGGTGCTGCCCAGGCTGCTGAAGCTGCTTATGGCATTGATGTGGCTGGGTAAGGACAATGCCTGTGAGAAGGGGTCTACTTTGTGACCTAGGGACTGGAGGACAGGGTAGCCTTAAGGGACTGTGGGAGGGAGGGTTAGCAGGGTGTAAAAATACACTTTTTTGTCCCAACCACTTATCCCTCAACTTTCTGTCCTTTTCCCTTCAGGATCCAGTTTTGCCCAGAAGGTGACTCAGGCCCAGCCAGCCATGTGGGTGCAGGAGAAGGAGGCTGTGAGCCTGCTCTGCTCCTATGACACCAGTGAGACAAGTTTTGGTCTCCTCTGGTACAAGCAGCCCAGCAGTGGGGGGATGGTCTTCCTCATCCTTCAGAACTCTTACAGCCAGCAAAATGCCACTGAAGGTCGCTACTCAGTGAATTTGCAGAAGGCAAGCAAATCCATCCAGCTTGTCATCTCAGCCTCTCAGCTGGGGGACTCAGCGGTGTATTTCTGTGCACTGAGAGAGGGCACAGTGGGAGGACTGTTGGAGGGCGGTGCACAAAAACCCAGGGTCTGCCTGAGATAGCCACCTGCTGTAGGGACCAAGGCAGGGAGTGGGCACCCCAGACAGGAAGTGGCCAGGGCTGTGACAGCTTGTCTGGGGTTGGAGGGAAAACACTCTGAAGAAACCCTCTCTAGGTTCATAGATCACATCAGAGTTATCACTAAAAAACCAGCCATATTGTTGAATCTTTGTAGTAAAGTTGTTTTAATGGAGAGTTATTGAACACAAAGAAAATGTGTATAATATCTGTATCTTGACTTTGAGTCTGGCTTATTTCACTTACTATAGTGTTCTCAAGTTCCATCAATTTTTTCCTGCAAATGACATAA